ATGGGTGGTCAAACGTTAAAGTAAATTTAAGATGACAAAATAACATGATAATATGTGAAAGGAAGAAAGAGATTGAGAGGCAAAGAGTTAAGAAATGGGGAGGCATACAAACAAGTAGAATTAATATTGCCTGTGTGCGCTTTTATATAAATCCACTTACATTGAAATGAAATGTAAAATATGCATGATATTAGCATCGAAAGAACAGCAGCCGAAAAGATAAAACGCAAGGCTGAAAATGAATTTGCATAAAATCAGAATTTAAATCGTAGCATTTCAACAATTCAAATGTATTTTGTATGCTTAAACGATTTTATTTTTTTTGTTCTCTTACTTTACTTACTCTCTCATGTAGAGTTTATAAGCTGTCATAAAAATCTGGACTTATCGATAATATTTCGCGATTTTTTTTTATTGTTCATTTATTTAATCACTTACCGGCTTATCAGGCTATAATCTTTAGTATATGTAGAATTTATATGGAGAAGTGAAATCGTGTGAATTCCAAAGTTAATCTTTGTTGGCAGAGATCGACTTCAAGAACTGATTCCAATCAACTTTTATTTGACTAAAATATTTTTAAATGATTCTGTCAGTGAAAAAGCTGGACTTTTATAGAAAAGGCGTTAAGTATCATATATGAATCTATAAATCTCTATTGTAAAGAATATTGGTTCAATTCTGATCAAAGGCATTTCTCTTAGTCATCTAAAGAATAAATTCGATAAGAAAAAAATTCACACGCTGCTTACAACATCACAGACATCAAGTTTGAATCATTTTCGATTAGAGTTGACTTCGAGCTATTAAAATAAAATTATATTTCACGCATTGTTGCAAATTAATGAAATTGCTGTTTTTGTAAAAAAAAAAACTTTAACATTTGAAGCAGTGTGATTTATTTTTACAATATTTCATTAGGTTTTATGGGTTTTATCAAAAAGTTTGAATAGTTTCTTAGAAGTCATTCCTAAATGATGTCGAATCTATAGAAATGTTTTGTAATAGACGATAAATCAGGATCTAAAGTTTAATGGAAGTAATTTGTGAATGAGCCTTTAATAAAAATCTTGAAAGCAACTGTAACTTAACGGATTAAGGTATCGCAAAAATTACATAAAACTTGACGAAATCCACGTAATTAACATTTTATTGGTTGTAAACTTTTTTCAATTACCTGTCGTTATAGTTTAATTTTCTCTGCTAATTCCTTTTCCTGAGAATTTCAACGCTTTCTTATGAATATTATTTTGTGCTGCTCATATGATTTGATAAGAATCAGTAATGACTTTTTAAATGGAACTAATTACTGTTCACGCTTCATTTGCGATTAAAGAAAAATTCCAAAAATCATTACTTATTATAAGTCATAAATTTTTTGTAAATTCCAGACTGTAAGTTTTGAAATTATTTTAATTATTCGTTCGAAAAATTATCAATTTTCATTTGAAAGCTCATGAAAAGAAATTTAACAATGCAGAAGTACTTTTTATAATAAATCATGTGGAAAATTCGAAACATGACATTCTTCAAACATAATTCAGAAGCACACCATACGACGACACTCTTAATCTAATATTGTCCTTTGAATCTTACTACTGTTTTGTACATTCTGCAATCAATAGATGGATTATTGTGACAAAATATTAATACTATTGTCGGTGAGTTTTTCATAGTGCTTAATGTAATTGCATATTCTTGTTCACTTTGTCGGAATTTCCTTCATTTACTGTTCTATTATTATCTATGTATTGCATTCACATATGCTTAACAAAAGGTATTACTTTTTTCACTACACTCTGATGATTTCTTGTGTGACATATTCTGTACTTTAGGCTCCAAAGAATGGTTTTTGCAGATGTTAAAAGAAGCTACAAATAATCAAATTAAGTTAGTTTCTCTATCACTTCAATGTGAGAATCAGGGCGTAGTTTAAATATTCTTGACTCCCAAAACCCCCTATTTCTTTGATCTAAGATAAAAATTAAAAAGAAGTACAGGTTTGTTCCTTGAAGCCATTCTTAATTTTTTATTCTCAAGCTATACAAAAAAAAAAATCAAGAAATAAAATTAATTACTGAACAAAAAACAAAAATCGTTTCATGGGGCTGTGATCGAAAGTAGAATTTTAAAAACCGCATGATTTCAGTGGCGCCGAGCATTCAATTTTGGTTTTGAAGAACTTCTTGCAGGCCATTTCACAAATGTAATTTGAGGATTTTAAGCAGTTTGGAGGTAGGAATAAGATTTTATTACGATTCAACATAATTTATGTGTTTTAAAAAACTTTATTTACCTTTAACTAATCAGTAAACCTCGATATCAGCCTGAATGTAGTAAGGATGTTTGTAAACATATGTAAACGATATAAAATTAAAAACAGGAACCTGATTGATTTAGATGTAGAGTTTATATGTTTGTGATAATGATCAATCACTTTTAATTAGATTGTTTTTTTTACCAGCAGCGGCTTCGTTTCAAACAGCACAAAATATGCTGAACGGTAGTTTAAGTAGCAACTAATAAAATGTTTCTTATAATTGCGATACAATGGAGATTAAAGGCATTTGAATGAAATTTCCTCTCGTACACTTCATCTATTATTCGTCTTTTCTGTAAATCTGTTTTCAAGTCCCAGATCTTGTTTTGTCACCACACAATTCTATATACTATTATGCTAGTTAGCTGTATAAGCTATAAGTGGCATGTGAATGTCGGCAATGTTTTCTTTCTTGTTATGTTTTTTTGCTATACACTTGTGTCACATTTAAGGATAAAAGAAAATATCAGAGCCACTCAATGGAGACATTCCTTTTTCTCTAAGGAATAAGATACCTACCAAAAATTACCATGGATACTTCAAAGAGACTTTTTTTATTTATTGAGATCAAAAGATCCTTATCGATATTAGCTTTGATATTTTTGTTTAAGATTTGGCCTCTACTAACCGATATTCTCAATGATTTCAAATGTGATATAAAAAAGAAGCAGACTCAAATTGGAAACAAATGACACAGAATGAAATATGATACATGGCGCCCGAAACATAGTGGCACTTTTTTCTCAGATACTCCAAAAAATATAAAAAGTTTACTCAAATTGGCTGCGTCACGCCCTAACGACTATTAGCTGTATATATTTTGAAGATGTTTGTCACAGAAATTAAAGGAGGATGCAAGAATGACAATAACGACGATGTTTAAACAAAAACATAAACCAAAATCACATGATATGCTGTCATTATAAATTGCTTTCTTTATTGAGCATTCAAAATGAATTTTTTAAACAGAGAAATCTTATTGTCATCACTTATGACGTCCTCTTTGTACAAAACATACGCTAAATTTATAAAAGATGAGAATTTATGCAATTCACAGAAGTAGATTTAATTTTTTTGTTTGTTGCTGCATTTGATGATTTCAAACTGTCAGATTTCTCAAAGCCATATCTCCAGGCGCCAGAAAATAAAATCTGCAATTCATTTATTCTTTCGTTGAAATTGATATCACATTAAGTATATTCAGAAGCCGCATGAATTTCGTTTCATATATTTATATGAAAATGTGTGCTCATCATGCAATGCACAGAATGAAATAATATTGTGCAATAAGAAGAAAATTATGTTAGAAAAATGCTATCAAGTGCCTTCTTGTACCGTTCATTCTATGTGTAAAGCCGACTGCTAATCTGATTTATGATCTACTTTATAAAAACTTATGAACAGTTTGTAGCTTGTTTTGAGTTGTTGCTTCATTCAAATCTTGGTTTTTGAGCAGTACTTTGCATATATGACTGAAATAAGGGTGCTTGTAATTATTGTTATGAAAGTCTTCACTAAGGTTAAGTCAATCTTCAATAAACCTACTAATCTAAGGCACTAATAAAGAGCTAATAAGTTTCTTCAGAATGAAATTTTATACAAATTAATTAAATAAAAATGCTGATGTGTGCTAATATGCTTTCTTATATAAAGGCGCTGATCTTTTGATTTCACAGTTCAACGAGTTTACATTTATTTGCTAAAAATACAAACCTCTTGACAAAGTTGCCTCAACGATATCAAATTTCCTTTTAACCTTCCGTCTTAAACTTGCTTCTTATATTTTTTTATTATCAATTTCCTCTTCTTAATATATAAATTTTTGTATGTTCGATATCAATAATGCAATAAAAAGCTCAAGAGGAAAATTTTCCATCGCCATTTTTCCAATTTGAAGAGAAAATACCGAGAGAGATGAATATTTTAATAAAGGCGTGTTTCTTACTCAACGATTCTCTCAGTGCAATAACAAAATTAATTATATTCAATTCTCTCCGCTTGACCAATGATGGTTGGTAACTCAATGAAAAAAAAAAAAAAACATAAATGCAGTACTGAAAAGAGAAGAATAAAATAACTTGTTTCAACCGCATAAGCACGCTTATAAATTAAACAACTTGACGATTTCGCTTGTATCAAGTTTCAAATTTTCATTAAATTGTAGAAAAATAATGTACCTACTAAAGTCTCAAATTCTCATTCAAACAAACAATTTTGCAAGAAAATATCTTAGATAAAAAATGAGGAGTAGATTACATCATGTGGAGATGTTTGAACAAAGATCACTTAGAGAACTATGCATGAATGAGGTAAATTTGTATGGGATATATGTATGAACTTGATTAATGATGAAGAAATAGTTTGCCATTAAAGACTAAAATACTTCATTCATACAAGCGGATATTGAAATCATTTACTATATTCATTCACAAAAAACCAAAGTAATAAGGCCAAACTACCTTAATTGCTATATGTGTGTTTTATTAGCATCATAGAAAATTCGGGAATTTTTGTAATCAAATGACTTTGTACAAACTCAATGATTTTATTGCTTTTTTAAATCCCAATGATAAGTTATCATAATTTTACATCAAATGTGCGGTAAACTTTAATTTGGGAATATCCTTCGTCGCTTATCAGATAAGAACTTCTTATAAATATTGCAATCAATGATTTTCATATGTTCAATTTTATTTTGTTCATTAAAACGTAAAGATGAAATTGTTTGTGCTTTTGGTGATTTGTGCCACATCAGCATTTGCTGAAAATAGTGAAATTGATTGGTCAGGTGTGAAGCCTATTGAAGAATATTCATGGTTTTGGGAAAATAAACCAGCATCAATCAGACCAACTGAGGAACTTTTGAATAGAAGGCGTGCAAGAATTGTTAATGGAGATATTGCTACGTATGTTTCAATGTTTCGAAAGTGTGACTGAAAAGTGATATTTTTTTTGTCATTTAGACCTCACCAATTCCCATATCAAGCTGGACTTCTTTTCAACTTTGCTGCTGGCACAGCTCTTTGCGGTTACTTTACTAGCTTGAATTTAAAATAACAATAATTTTAAACAAATTTTTCAAAATTTTAGGTGGTGCACTCATCCATGTAAGAAATGTACTTACTGCAGGTACGAACTATAAACTTTTATTAAAAATTATCTTCAAAATTTAAATTATTTTATATTTTGATAAACTAGCTCATTGCGTTGATGAAGCATCAGGTGGAACTGTTATCTTAGGAGCACATTTTATTAGAGAACTCGAGCCAAATCAACAAAGAAGAACCTTAACCAGAGATCACATAAGACTTCATCCATTGTGGACTCCTTCATTGATTCAAAATGATATTGCTATGTTACATCTTCCTACAGCAGTTACTTTAAATAGCGCAGGTACTATTGACAAAAAAACTGGATAATGCTTTAAGAAGATTCAAATTCATAATTCCATAATTTTCCATAGTTGCAACTATTTTGATTCCATTGAATAATAACGAACAGTTCGCTAATGCCGCAGCTACAGTAAGTTATTTTACGTTACATTTTTACATTTTCATAATTTCGTTTTGGTCAAATAAAGGTCAGTGGATGGGGAAGATTTGATGATAATATCCAAGCATCATCAGACGTTTTGAGATTTTATAGAGGAACAATTTTAGCTCAAGCAAATTGTGCTTTAAGATTCCCTGGCGTTATTCAAGCAAGTAACATTTGTTTGTCAGGATTGAATAATGGTGGTGCATGTTCAGGTATGAATCATTGAATTGATGTTTCTTTTAGTTTTTTGATAATTTTTTTTACTATTCATCGAAAATCAGGTGATTCGGGTAAGTAACCACATTATTGATAAGCTAATCAGTGATTATAAGTGATTGATATTGTTCTGCAGGTGGTCCATTATCAACAAGCGTAAATGGTGTTCATACTCACATTGGTGTTGTAAGCTTTGGATTAGCTCTTGGTTGTGAATTGTAAGTGGAAGAATGTTCTTATTTTTGAACTTTATATTGATATTCTAAATTTGTTTTTCATTAGACTTTGGCCTTCTGTATTCGCACGTACTTCTTTCTACATTGACTGGATTAATCAAAATCAAATAAACTAAAAATACTAATTGAAGAATTTTAAGATTTTAGAAAAATTCCATTCTTTGATGTAAGGTGCTAAATAAAAAAGGATATTTTCCATTTTAAAAATTTGTTTGATTTTTTATTTACATCATGGCAACGCTTTATATCCAAAACATTCCTTTTAGTGTTTGGTGTTAAAAATCACACATCCAAGTCCATGAATATATTTTATAAAAAAACACATCTCGAGGGGAAATAGAATGTAAATGGCCATATTGGGACTTTGAAGTTAATTCATTCATCGTGTAATGAAAAGTAACTTTAAAACAATTTTATTTTCTCAAATGTAAGTGTTCTATGAGTGAGAATAGCAACATCAGAAACATATAATTTAAACGTGATTATTTGTTTTACACTTTCATTACCCATCAGGCAATTATCTTTTCTATTTCCTGAGCACCTGAAATCACAATAATTTATCATTTAAAATCAAATATATTGGAATGCTAAAGATGTTTTTATATCTTTCTTGTAAGACCCGAGAAAATTCCCAATATAGCTAATCACATACATTATCATCTTTTTTAATAACTTCTCGTTATAGTCAATTCGATCAATTCAAAACCTTTCAGCTATCAATTTTATTCATTCTTATTTTCCTTCGTTCCTTGTTTTAGTTGAAGAAAGAATGAAGAATAGACATAAATTTATATACCTATATAGATATAAAATCACCAGGTTCCACCAAAAATGGAAACATATTTCTCATTTTGACGCTATTGCATTGTAGGTATAAATATGTGTATATACTGTAAAGTGGCATGTCTATTTGTTTTAACAAGATTTTCTTAAAGTTAATAATATTTAATGATTTTGAAATGTCTAAAACAACAACATTTCTGTAGAGCGTCCCGCAATAACAAAAGTAATATTATCGAAAAAGAGGTAACAAATAAAGAAATGGGCATTATAGAAAGATTTAAAAGATGAAAATTATTAATGCTCAACGGCGTCAGTCATTTTCAAGACTCTTTTTTTTTTTCTTTGTTTTGTTTCTCACCGATTAGATACTACATAGATTCGTTACTGGTGATAAAATTTTATTTATTTGTAATAACGATGAAGTTGATGATCACTTAAATTTTGGCTAATAGCCGAATGATTTACAAGTAGATTTCAAGGCAGGAGGTCTCTTGTCGATAGTCTTCTTCTTTATTAATTTCTGATCACTATGAGGAGGGGATGCTTTACTCTATTTTCCCACGATTGCGTATTTAATGGCCAATTTAAATTATTTCTACTATTCCTTAAGAAAACGCATAAAATTCCTGACTGGATGGCTAATTATAGTGATACAACATTCATGCAAAAATATTTACAATAATTAAACAGATTTCACGCAATATGAATATCAATGGAAATAAAATTCCATATTCTACTCATTACGATTGACATTTTTACGCACATGACTTCACTGCGATTCTCATTCAACAGACTTGATTTTGGCGAACATACTTAAATTTAATTAAACGTCACTAAATTAACATTATGGTCTTTAACTGCGTAATAACACATAGAGTGTATAATTTAAATACTTTTCATGAATCGATATTTTAGTGTGCTGATTTTTTTTTTATGAACAGTATTTTCAGAACAAAAGAGAAAGGAAAAGAATTTTCAGCATTCTTTGAGCTTCTTTCGCCTTTTTGGTCTGCCTGAATTTTCAAACTCGTATAGAATAGGCGCCACTTGGTCATTATTAACGATAGAATGAATTATTGCGAGTTTTTAGCAACAAAAAAGAGAGAGAAAAGAAAGTTACTAATTTTAATGCTATCTCCTAATAATCTTAAAGATATGTGTAGACAGACTTTTATAGTTATTAAAAGATAATCATATAAGGAAAACTGATATATGACTAAAAAGTCATTAGTTGTGACACATTAAAATGAATTTTTAATATTTACCCATACCTACACTATATTATTTCAACTAAATAGGAAACATGATACGTTTATGTCTACATGAATAGTTGCTACTTAGAATTCCTCTGTATAAAAAAATAATAAAATAACAAATTTAAGAAATGTCCATAAAAAACGATTTCATGTTTATGATAATCATGTGAATCTCACATTTTCGTCCGATATTTTTAAATAGAAACGATGATGGCTAATTTAAATAAACGTAATTAATTATTGAGACCCAAACTGATGATTCCTCATAATCTTGAAACTTTATTCCAAGAATCACAGCATTTCATTTTACGATCCAAATGAGACTTACTGGTTGAATTTATTCAACGCTTCTTCTTTCTGTCTTTCGATGAACAAATGCAGAGATTTTCATTCTAATCACAAGGGTTCTTTCATAAGTAATGTTCATCATAAAGCATAAATTTTTGTGATTTAAAGTATTCCAGTTCTGCATTTTGAAACAGTATTTTTGCTTATCATGACCATTATCGAAATCATACACGATCTTATCTTACCAAAAATTGCCCTAATCTCGTACCTATCTGCACATATATCAGTCGATCAAACACAAACGATTTGTCAAAGAAAGAAATATTTAAAGAAAAGAAAAAGAATAAAATTACAACAGCCGCTGGGGCAGGTAGTCTTTCCCATCATTTTATTCTTATGTTCATGACATTGAGTATCAATTCAATATAATATATATTGAATTCATGTATAATGTAAAATCACTTGCTGTGAATTTATGTCCATCTACACTAACCGATGTCGCTTGGCTGCTTTTTACAATAAATAATTTATATACATGCCTCAAATATCAATTTTCACATTAACAAGTCTTTAAATAATCGTGAGTTTCTTTTCAGTAAATTTCAGGATTTAAAAATTATGAGCCAAGCCCCACTATCGCGTCTTTATGATCGCACAAATAGGGGCGGCAAAAAGTTCCTTTGAAGTACGTATAATGTGTCAAAGACATGAAACTTGATTATGATTATGAAATATCAACGAGTAAAATAGTATAAGTACAAAATGGCAGGGCAAGTAGTGAGTAAGTTGGTGAACATGCTTGATTTATTTATTACATTTAAAATTACATTAATTGACTTGAAATGAAATGGAACGTACTGATAAGGTTAAAAGCTACAGACATTAATTTTGCTGGTCGTATCAAATCAAGAAGTTGTTTTGAAATGCATGCTGCATATAACAGCTATATATTCATTATTGACTAGCAAATTTCACTATTTTAACTAATTAAGTTTCGCCTAAATGCCATATTTATCTTTTTCATTAATAAATTTCTCAAAAATATATATATATGCACACCGAACTACGAAAGGAGGCAAAAAGAGGATTTAAATAAACGAGATTCCCAAAAGCTAAAACAAGATTCTCATTAGATGCGAACGTTATCATTGATTTTAATTTTTGATGCTCGTGGTCACATTTTGTTTTTACTTCATTTAGGTTGATTTTATTCGTATGTTTTTATGGTTCATTCGGAACTGACGTGACATTGAAATATTTGTGAGATAAAACCTCTATGGAGCATAACAAAACTATGCTTGTTTTACTCTAGATTTTATCTAGCTTTGTAGAAATAAACAAGTTGCACAGAACTTGCTTTTAACATCACATCATATTCGTACGACTCCCCAAAAAACAACTGTTTCGTTGTATTTTTAATCCATGTTTGCGTATTGCTAAGTTCAGATACAACAAAAAAGTCAAGAAGAGAAAGATATATAAAAAATTTGTTAAAACAATAAGACATAGTGGTTGAACGGAGAATGAAAGAGGAACAATTTTAGAAAGAGACTGGCGCCCGACTGATGAGAATCGAATTCTGGACATTCGGGAAAGCGGCATTGAAAATACTTCTTGTGGCGAATAGAAACTTCTTTATTAAGCTTTTAAATTATAACAAACTTAAACTATATAAAGGAATTTATTCATTTATCTCTGTCTGATTAAGACTCAAAGAAAAGTTTTTTTTTGTGCAGTTTTGGATTTCCATTAAAAGTTAATTCACAACAAAAACAAACAAACAACTTGAAAAAGTAATAATCACTGCAAAACTTAAATGAAAAGGGCGAGAGAAGACCCACATGGAATACATTGCGAATAAATTTGTTGAAAAGTGATGTGAAAATTACACCTTTCCGATTTCTCTTATATCCATCAAAGTGTACCCAATTTTTCTGGATATGGTTAATCTACGTGCATGTCTACATATGAACAATCTTGGATTTAAGAAAAACAAACAGTTTGACTTATTGAGATGGATTTTTGGTTTTACTTTTTAAAATTTCTTGAGTAGAGGTACAGAAAGGAACAAGAAAATAACAGTAATTATCCAATATATTATATCATCACATTTTGGAAGCCTTAAGGGTATAAATTGGTTTCTATTTCATGATCTTTTCTTTCTCGTTTTACGCAAAAAGTTTCGTGTTTATTTTTTTGAATCAAAGGAAATTTAATTAAATTGTCAAACAATAGACAAACGGCGCTTAAGTTTGAATGCTCCATATTACAGCTTCTTGATATGTAATTTCTATAAAGATTCAATATTGAATATCAATATTGTCATCGTATATGAATCGATAATTGAAGTTCAACGAATGAATTACGCTAATTATCTACACAAAAAAAATTGTTGTGAATTCAAGTAGCGTCAAGTCTTAATTTACATGATCACACCTTCATATTGACGTCGTTGAAGCTTCGATCGTTCATATATACAATACATGTGTATCTTTCACAGTTTGTATATTAAAAGAAGAAGAAGAAAATTGATTTAAGAAGAAAACAAGGTGTCAAATTCCGTCCAAAAATGTATTAAAATACTTTTTAATCTTCTTTCGGATTTCATAAAGAAAAAAAAATTGATTTCAACAAAAGAAGAAATATAATAAATTGTGAAGACTGGAGATATTGCCTTAGAGAGTAAGGAAAATGACGAATACACGAGAAACCAGTTTAAAATTTCACACCAAAAATCCATTAGCGTTGAGTAAATATTATGGAACTATAAAACTCGATATATACTTTTGCTGCTGCCTGTTTTTGTACCTCTTCCGAATTTTTGGGGCTCGAATATGCAGCACTGTAAGATAAAATGAAAATAAAAAATGGTCGTAGACAGAAAACAAACAAAAATTTAACAACTCTTATTTGCTCTTATCATAAGCTCATTTTATGTTCATATGTAAGAAAAAAATGGTTTCCAAAAAGAAGTCTTGTTGTGGATAGAAAGTCATTTCACATTCAAATAATAATTTGATTTCAAAAAAGGATACACGTGACCCTTCTATTAGCAAAAACAACTTATAACTTTGCTTACTCTTTCTAATCTTTTCCACAGTTGTTCTGAATAAGATGTAAGAATAAAATGCAATTTGTAGGTTTGAATTATATTGACATTATTTTATTAATAATCGCTAATAACAATAATCTATATTTTTTTGGCATAAACTAATAAAATTTATAAAGCTTAAAATATTTCATAATCTCAAATTTAAATGAAACTTCTTCAGTACATAACGATAAACATCTTGATTTTTAATATTCTATCAGTCATTGTTTGAATTCCTTACTTTCTAATTCTTTATACATAATTGATATTTACATGCTTATAATCCAAGAATTGAAGCTATTGAAAAGTTACATTTTTTGGGTGATTCTTCATTATCAGAGAAGGAAATTGAGATACTTTTTGATGGCGATGTTGATGGACTTGAACTGTTACTATCAGCAAAATTAGAACTTAGTGCGGCTTGATGTTCTGTGTTTATATATGGCATCATAAAGTTTAACCATTGCTGACTCGGTCCAACCATATGATGATAATTGTGTGCTGAGACTGTATATGGATAAATGTTTGGCTTCATTACTGGAGAATGACAATCATCAACGCTGATTGTTGCTGGAGAATGTGATCCGTTAGATGATGTTTCATATGTTGACATTTCACTGTCTTCTAAAGATCCAGCAGAAAATGCTGATGGACTAATTACTCTAAGTCTTTTCTGTTCAACTTCATACGACGATTCATCATCGTTCTTTTGTAATTTCTGATTGAAATTGTTGTTATTTGATGTTGATGGTCCAAGCTTTCTCTTGCATCGAGATTGACCAGTTTCACGAAATCCTTTTGCAAATGGATTATTATCGATCTTCAACTTTGTGATTCGATCATTCTGTTATTGAAAAGAGAAGAAAAAGATATAAAATCAGTAAGATCATAAGAAATCAACAATTATTTCACGCAATATGAACAATTTTTGAAGTTGACGGCAAACTTTAAGTTTGTGTCACCTTTTCTTCACTTTTGATTGTGATGCAAGAAACCGCCAATAAGGATTATTAAAGATAATCTTTTTTGGTTTCTTTCAATACACAAATAAAGTTTTGAGTCAAAGTTTGCCGCTTGTATCATCAATTATTATGATTCACTTGGGCGTATTAATTGTAAGAGCAAAAGAGATAGAGAGACTTGAAGTGCAAGAACTGCATGAGGTCTCTGTGTATTTGTGCGTGTATATAATATGTATAATGAAACAAGTTATTACCTGATAAGCAGTGACAGCTACAAATTCAGTTTCATGAAATACAAATGATTTTTGTGGTGACCAAGGAATTTGTGAAGGATCTGAAGTCCGAACGATATGAATACGTGGCTGATATTTATGCATGCTGGTTAAAACAACCTGAAGAACAAGAGAATAAGTAAATAATAAATTCATTAGATTGCAAGTGAATATTTTGAGTGCAGTTAAAGAGCATTAGACAGATACATTTTCAATTTTAATCCATAATCTTTCTTTTCACACCATTTTCTACTTCAAGTACTCATTCTTATACATTCATTGTTTCTTTTTTGTTGGGTACTTGAAGAGTATAAAGGCAGACAGAATAGATAGAAATAAAATGCTCAAATGCTCAAAAGGGACAAGAGAAATAGCAAAATAGTTAAGAGTGGAATTATGCACAATCTGGATAATCTTGCGATGATACTTACATGTCCACTGCTATCTAATGTGTTGTTTGTAAGTTTCACTTTGTTGAAATTGATCGGTTGAGCTTGCCAATGTGATCCCAAAGCTGGACTGTCGGGATGAATATAAATGTTTTGAAGACTTTGAGGTTCTGCACCTCCGGCTGGTACCCATTGTGATCCCGAGAATTTAAATCTACAATCAGCAGTCGGAGCCATTTCCAATAGAACACAGTAATTTTGATCATTATCCAATCCAGCAAGTGAAATGCGTAGTGATGGAAACATTCGTCTGTGGATATAAAAGAAGAAATAATTTTTAAATTTGATAATCGGATATTTCACAAATTTTGTTTATAGCAATTTAATGTGAATTTGCATGATCCCTTTACATTTCAATTTTTTCTCACTTTAAGGTAAATTTTATGTCTCATAACTGAAATGGCTGTTTATATTTATTGATTGTAATCACTTTTAATAATTTTGTGAGCACTTCTCGATGTATTTCTATGCTTGCTGTCGAGTTTGTCTTCATTTAAATAACGCTTTTTTGACAGAATAATGCCTTTCATGCACGCGACTATGCAACATGAAAATTGCTAAGCAGTACTTTGTTCATTCCTGTATGTTTGAGAATGTTTTATGAATAATCAAATAAACTTTTAGTCTCAGTCTTTTCATGCTTTCTTAAAATGGAATTTAGCTTCTTTAAAATACTAATTAATATAAAATGTAAAGTCGAAAAGTGCGTCTTTTTGCTTATTTCTTCCACGTATTGTATGGCGAACAAAAAAGTTTTATTGGAATGCTCCATTTCAGTCCAGACAGATTTCTTGGAAAGCATAGCTCGAACATTTGACGATTCGCTTACTTCTTGTTTTATTTGGCAATATTAATGCTGATAAAAAATGCGAGAACTTCTTGTGTCAAGAAACAACAAATTTAATTCCTCAAGATTTCTTGTGAATTGCGCATCGATTTTTGATTTTAATTATTTTAAAAGTTGTTATTCTGATGAATAAGTACGCTTTTTTTTGTAAAATATTTCTTCATCTCCTTTCTTTTTTTTCATACTCAATTGAAATGAGAGTAATTACATTTCTGAGAAAGTCTGCGCCCGTGTAAAGAACAATTTAATGGCTAGAGTGTGAAAGACAAGGGGCAATAAAAAACCAAGATTTAATTAACAGTCGTCAACAAGACAACACATGCTGCGCTTTCCCAACGTACTTGACGCTTACCTATTAACAGCATGGAGAAAATTTTTATAGCCACGTATCGTCTTCAATTTTTTTTTTTTTTTTTTGAGAATAAGCGTCAACATAAAAGACCATTAAAAGAGATTTCTTTATGTTTGTCCAAAAGATTAAATAATTTTATGTGGATGATCGTCAAAAGAGAATAAACGAAAAGAGAATCACTATCTTGTACTGGTAGCTCCCTTTAAAATGATACTTATGGCCCTCATCAAGCCATTGGAAAGACGACAAGCATTATTTGAATTTCTAATCATTTTAATCATCTTGTCTTTGTCTTAACTATTTCTTCTTTCTACAGAACAATGTTTGAAGTATTTATCGATAAATCTTTTCTTCATTCTTTCTTCTTTCTTTTTTTTTGGGTTTCTTATCATGTTTTTATATTCTTCTGTATGCTTCCGATGAATGTTCGTGTGTAGCATTATATGACGTGTTTTAATTGCTTCGGTCTCATCTCATTATGGCATCAAGCGAGTTCTTTTTTCTTTATTCTCAATTCCTTCATATGCATGCATAATACATAAGGCCCCCCAAAAAAGGAAGAACAATAAAAATGAATTTTATCAATGCGTCGATAAACACAAATAGCAACGCCCAAAAATTGCATTTTTTTTTTCTTCTCTCTTTCATTGTATAATTAATTATTCCCTCTTAAATTTTATTTCCATCAATTTACAATAATGGACAGGATTCTTTTAATATTCTGCATAAATTAATCACCGATTGTTGAAGGACTTTCATTATCCTCCATTTAAAGAAATGAAATGTAATGCTTGTTTCGTGAGAAAAAAATGTACAGACTGAATTGAATAGTAAAATGTAATTAACATCACACATTCACAGATATTCTCGGGTGGTCTACTTCTGTTTTGACCATAAAATAAATTTTAAATCATATTAAAAATGGAATCAACACAAGTTTTTATTAACTTCATTTAGAAAATGGTTGAAAACACCATAAAATGCTCAGTTCTAAGGTTGAAAATTTGCATCTTGAGATTTTTGCGATGGCAATATTTGCTTATTGTTGTTGTTGTTCATCCTTGCTTTATTCTTAACTTGTTTCAGATAGTTCTTGCGGTATATTAGAATGGCTTCTTTGTTTATGCGCAAGAAATTTTTTCTTATAACGAGCTTGAAACACTTGTGGCTACATTTGAGATTATTTTTCGGATAACAAGGCCATGCTGCACTCCATGCGTAATAAAGTGGTTCTGATATGTATTCTTTTTTCTCACAACAGGGCATAATTTTTGATATTTTTTTCTGATTTTATTTTTCAATTAATCAACACGTAAAATTTTGGACTGTTTGATTCTAATTGAGAAAACAGTCAAATGTTTACCATGATTCAGAAGTAAAAGAAGAAAATTAATTAAATGTTAATCCGCTTGAATAGGGCATGAAACGTATAACAAGAAGGCGTAATATTTCTAATTGAGAGGTACGAAATCAATGTCTCGACTCTCCTCATTACCAAATCTTTCTTTTTCATTCTTTGTTTCTTTTGCTGCTCGCGAGAAGCTCATAATATGTTTTTTTTTGAATTATACCTTCTTTTTCAAATTTTGAAAATTACTTATTCTCACATTTACGAGTATAAAATTTATAAGAAGCATAAAACTGATTCAAATGAGAGAAAGAAAATATCAATTACTTCAGGCAGCATCTCAGTGGGATATTCAAAATATTGCATTGTTTTAAAGACGAGTGATTCCACAATAGGAGGTCAGAGGCATGGCGCCAACCGTATATTGAGGCACACTGAAAAATTTCTAACCTTTTTTTTTCTTTCTTTTTATCTCTCATCTCTCTTCATATTCTCGACTTTGGCCTGTGTCTTAAGTGGCACATTTGAGGGCTACAAATATTCTTTATACATTGACAAGAAAGAAATAAAGGAACAAAAAAGAATCTGTTTTAAAACTTTAAAAACGTCATCAAATGTTCCGCAAACTGCACTTGATGCAATTTTCATCTAAGAATTATGAGACATGACTAGACACTAGCATAAAATTTATCGCTCTGCGCAATCTTTATTCTTAAGTCTCGTCCCTTTCCACTCCCAACTTATTATTGCCTTTTTGTTTCAAAGGCGTCAAAAAAGACATAAATATTTCATAAAAGGGACATGCAATTAGTTTCACATAGTAAATTTCTTAATATTGTCTCGAGACTTGAGACATAAATTCATAAAGAACATAATTAGAAATTTAAATATTGACTTACCGTCCAGATTTTGTGATAATCATTTCAGTTCCAATTTTATGGAATTGTGACCAAAGGTCTTGATTTTGTAATTTAACGTCTGCTCCAGGTAGTTGAAAACGTGGTGGCATTGGTGGTAATTGTCTTGCTGGAAACATTGAAGCATATGGATCTGGAAATTAAAAAAAAATTCATTATTTTTTGGTAAATTAATGACTATATAGACTTTATAGAGCAAAACAAACAATTTCAAATAATTAATTAACTAAGAATTCAAAAGTCATTGTTGAACATTAAAACTTGCATTCGATAGACAACATCATCTGCAATTTATCAATGAAACAACTTTTTTTTTCTAAATCATTAATCAATATTTCGACATTTTGTTTGTTTGACTGATTGATCAGAATGCCGTCGCCAATATATACAAAAAACTTTTTTAAAGTTCTCTTGTAAAACAAACAGTCAATTTTCTACCCAAATTTTAAAGGTAAACATATTTTAGATTGATTGATTACCTGGAATCCTTTGCAACATTTGTTGTCTGTAGAGCTCCTGAGCTAAGTGCTGGTGTAGTCTGATATCCATTATTTCATTCATTTTTGATTTTTTACGCAAATAATTAATTTTTTTTTATGCAAATGTATATGCTTTATGCTGTTATTCAATCACTATAGTTACTAGTTTTATATTTTCAATTTTTTTAAAAAGTTTATTTGAACAAATATTTCTTTGAATATAAATACTTAAAAAATTCACACTTTTCTTCTTCCTTTATATTTTATTTTCCTATCAACTGTTAATTCAATTGAACTTCTTATTATTTTTTTTTTTTCTTAAACAAACAAAACGTCCGAAAGCGTCAACTTCTAAAACCTGACTGACTTGAAATGTGTGTTAAAACTAGCATTTGTATAGCTATTGAAACAGGTTTTTTTTCATATTTCTCTTTCTACATTTTTCGTATGTTGCTTCTTTATTGGTTAAACGAAAGCTTATGCATTTCTCTGTACCCTCACAGTGAGAGTCAATCACGCCTACACTTATAGAAAATTGTCTACTCTCTCAGACGTTCTCTTTCTCTTTTATTTTTCTTTGTGTGTAAAATTTTAGCTTCTATCCTGTATAAAAATGGCGTTATTGATTAAATTTCCTTAACAGCTATTTGCAAAACAAGAAAATTAAAAAGCGCTATACTTCACAAGTGAGGAGGAAATGTGTACAATATATGGTATGCAAAATTCTCATTTTGAAATATATTTAAATTTAATTCACGCGATTCGTTTAGCTGTAATAACTTTTGTACGAGCTCATTTCCATCTTGGTGCTTCATTTTTGTGGGTTTATGATATTTTTGAAATTTAATATATTTAAAATAAAGCAAAGCTTATTTTTAAAAACTGACACGACTTTAATTTATTCGTAATTAAACTTTGAAATAACTTTTAATTGCATATATGAATATGAAGCTACAGTAATCTGCATTCTTATTGTGGTTAAATGGCATAGATAGCTAAGAAGTAAGGGTGCTTGTCTCTTGAGCTGACGACTACGTTTTAGTTAAACTAGGGTCGAGCATATATAGATTGTAGCTACACAATTGCACTCTTTTTTTATAAGAAAATCAAGTAGGGTAAACCATGTTAAAATTTGTGCAATGTTGAAATTTGTGCGCTCACATAAAAAATAAAGTAGCCCAAATAAGCCATTTAAACCAAAATTTTGTTTGCAGTTCTGTGTAAAACAGTTGTACAAACATTTCTACATCATTTTGGACAGTCTCGAAGCTTGGAGCAGCTTTAAATTTTAAAAATTCAAAATCCCATACAAAATTGTGATTTTCATATTTTAAAATATTTGGACATAACCAGTGCTGCTGTTGTAATCAAATCACAGTTTCAATATAAAATTTGATAATTGCTATACGGTTTCAAAAGAAATTCAAGTTATAAAAATCATTGGAAGTGCTTTAAAAATTGATTTTAAAATTTCTTGATTGTGAATGTTAAAATTTGTGCGAATTTATTTTACAAATTTTGAAATTTGTGCGCTTTTTGTCGTAGAAAGCGATGGGAATTTTTGTCAACAACAAATATTATATACGTATGAAATTCATGTTTTTATAGGATTTTACGAAGAATAGCATAAATGGAACTACTGAATGTCAAAAACTGATAAAAGCTGATAAAAATGAAAAACGTGGATCATTTAAAATTTTAGATAAAAATATATTCACAAAATTTGAAAATTTTGTGTGAATATGATAAAAAAAAATGCAAGACTTCAAGAATATCCATACATTCAAAAAGTATATATATATAAGTTATTGTTTAAACTTAAAATTTACAAAAAAATGGAGGTTGTAAACTCACCCAGCTCAAACTGAGTTAAATCTTGAATCTTGCATTATTTCTTGAGAAAAAGGTTTGAAACAAATCAGCTTTATGTTCTTAATTTCATTTAAAGTTTATTCAAATATTCCAAATTCCTTCAGCAAAATATCAATTTCTGCTCCAAAAATATGGAAATAAAATGTATGTTTACATTTAAGAATTGCAATTATGTCAAAGATTGCTAAATCAAAATCAAAATCATTTTGCAATGATTTGAAAAATGATTTCTGATTTAAATCATTTCACTCAAGTGATTTATTTTTGATTTATGATTTAAATCATTTTGTATGAAAAATTTTTTTGTGACTTATGACTTAAATCACATTGTATGGCGATTTTTTTTTTGGGATTTCATTGAGATTTAAATCAAAAACCACAATTTGATTTGTGATTTTGATTTAAATCGCGAAAAACTCCCCAACCCTGTCAGTCATTAGCAAGTTATTTGCAAATCAAATCTCCATGTGCAAAAACACACAAATTTCAACGTGGTTTACTCTCAACGTGGATATGTTCATTAAAAAATATCTGAAATCAAAGTTGATTGTAAACTGTAAAAAATGAAAATTTAATTTTACTAATACTTTTTTATTTATTAGAATCACGTAGAAATACTAAGTTATACATTTAAGTTTTAATACATAATGAGCTTCGAATGAAACAATTTTGAAAGCTATTTAAATAATTTTATTGCAATTTGTAGTTTATTTATTCCTTAAAAAGATCATGAAATTTTCAATGACATGCTGTTGTCTTCAGATCACCTTTCTCTAAGCCCAAAATTGCAGATATTGAGAAATTTGACTTTTTTGGTGATGTTTCTTCATTATCTGAGGCATTGGAACTTGTATCATCAGTTAAAACATCAATTTGCTTCTCGTCATTTTCTACTTGATTGTTTATTCTAATAGAGTTTACTTGTTGATTATTTATATGAGGCATCATCAAGTTCATAAATTGAGAATTTATCATCTGATGATAATGTTGTAGTGCTAAAGGATATGAATGATGCTGAAAGTAGGGTAGCCTCTGATTGATGAAACGATCATCAATTGAAGGTGAATTAGTTCCACTAGATGATGTTTCGTAAAGTGATAATCCAGAATCATCCTTTTGAGATTGTAATCCTGGTGAGAATGCAGATGGACTTATGACTCGAAGACGTTTCTGTTCAATCTCATATGGCAACTCGTCATCGTTCTTTTGTAATTTCTGATTATTATTAATACTGTTGTTATTTGATGTTGATGGTCCAAGCTTTCTCTTGCATCGAGATTGACCAGTTTCACGAAATCCTTTTGCAAATGGATTATTATCGATCTTTAACTTTGTGATTCGATCATTCTGTTATTGAAAAGAGAAGAAAAAGATATAAAATCAGTAAGATCATAAGAAATCAACAATTATTTCACGCAATATGAACAATTTTTGAAGTTGACGGCAAACTTAAAGTTTGTGTCACCTTTTCTTCACTTTTGATTGTGATGCAAGAAACCGCCAATAAGGATTATTAAAGATAATCTTTTTTGGTTTCTTTCAATACACAAATAAAGTTTTGAGTCAAAGTTTGCCGCCTGTATCATCAATTATTATGATTCACTTGGGCGTATTAATTGTAAGAGCAAAAGAGATAGAGAGACTTGAAGTGCAAGAACTGCATGAGGTCTCTGTGTATTTGTGCGTGTATATAATATGTATAATGAAACAAGTTATTACCTGATAAGCAGTGACAGCTACAAATTCAGTTTCATGAAATACAAATGATTTTTGTGGTGACCAAGGAATTTGTGAAGGATCTGAAGTCCGAACGATATGAATACGTGGCTGATATTTATGCATGCTGGTTAAAACGACCTGAAGAACAAGAGAATAAGTAAATAATAAATTCATTAGATTGCAAGTGAATATTTTGAGTGCAGTTAAAGAGCATTAGACAGATACATTTTCAATTTTAATCCATAATCTTTCTTTTCACACCATTTTCTACTTCAAGTACTCATTCTTATACATTCATTGTTTCTTTTTTGTTGGGTACTTGAAGAGTATAAAGGCAGACAGAATAGATAGAAATAAAATGCTCAAATGCTCAAAAGGGACAAGAGAAATAGCAAAATAGTTAAGAGTGGAATTATGCACAATCTGGATAATCTTGCGATGATACTTACATGTCCACTGCTGTCTAATGTGTTGTTTGTAAGTTTCACTTTGTTGAAATTGATCGGTTGAGCTTGCCAATGTGATCCCAAAGCTGGACTGTCGGGATGAATATAAATGTTTTGAAGACTTTGAGGTTCTGCACCTCCGGCTGGTACCCATTGTGATCCCGAGAATTTAAATCTACAATCAGCAGTCGGAGCCATTTCCAATAGAACACAATAATTTTGATCATTATCCAATCCAGCAAGTGAAATGCGTAGTGATGGAAACATTCGTCTGTGGAAATAAAAAAAAGTCATGAATATATTTTTATTTTCAAAAATCCAAGAAGCAAGTAAAATTCCATTAGCAGATTCAGAAGCAGGAAATTTATGAATGGAAATGCGATAAATAGAGTTTTGCATAATTTTTTAAGAGCTTAGCGGAATTTTTACTTTGTTCTTCCACAATCTAATTTCAAGAAATTGAAATAAATATAAATTTTCTCGCATCGACAAGAAAACAAAGAATGTCCCGCTTTTAATTCAATTTAATCTATTCAACGCTAATGGATTTTTGGTGTGAAAAGTTTACAACTGGTTTGGTAGCTTCTTACTTATTCCACACACATCAAACGATGTGATATTAAAACGAAAAAAATGTCAACCTGAATTTTGACTCGAATGAGAGATTAAATGGTCTTTTTTGTGTATCCTCATTAGGAAATTAACACCTTTAATACCTAACTTTATCATTATTAACGCTTCACAGTCGATTAAAAAAATATTTTGAACTCATACAGGAGTCAAAAAGTAACGATGCTAAGTGAGTTAATTTTCTGTGAAATAGTTTAATTTTATGTTCAGCCATGCCTTAAGCTTTTTTTTTCATAATCATAATTTAAACTAATGTAAGTGACTATGCACGCGACATAAAAATTCATAACATTTTGAACGTCACGAGACAAAAATTATCAGTGCTCTAAGAGTGATTAGCAGATGTTCTTGTAATTGCTCTATTTTATTTAAAAATCACTGATAACATTTATCGAACCTATGAAATATTACTTTGGAGTGGTAATAATCAATGAGTTATTACAAAAACCACTAAAATATCGACAGATGCACTTTTAAGCCCTTCCAAATTTATGAGCAATATGATGCCATAAATGAATATGAAGGAGCTGGAAGTGGTTTGATTACGCAGTTCTTAAGTGCGGTTCTTTAAGCAAGCGTCGCCTGCACACTGATCATGGAATCGGAACTTTAAATGCCTACTTATTGCTTTTTTTACTGATGTTGGTTGATATTCAGCTCAGCAGTCTCCTTTTGAGACTACAGACAGAAATTTTGTCAACAATTTAAGTGCTGAGGACTTGTAATCTTCAGAGTCTTTTCATTACTACCAGCATTATTGTTTAAGGTGTTAACAAAATGTGAAAATAAATGCAAATAATTTAAAGGAAAAGAAAACTTGATAAGCATTTCCGATGCACATAAAGATTTGTGCTGCATCAATTAAATGAGATCAATAAATTACATTCCGTTTTACTCTTCATTCACTGGAATGAGACTTAGACAGAAATAAGGTATTGAGTAAAGGAATTTTTAAAACAAAAAATCGAAATCTGACTGAAAATCTTCATACGGCGGGCGCCTGATTTCTTGCATATTTTTCTCATCGTTTCTTTTCTCTGCTTTGCTTTTATAATTTCTTCTTCAATGTATCGAACGAACCCTTTGAAATGTTCGATTTATGACCACAGGAATCCGATTTAAGAAAGAAATCAGATTTTTTGAATCACGTTTTCATCTCTTTATGGGATAAATGTTCATGCTTTTGGGTGGTTTGCTCTTCTTACTCATATTTTCCTTTTGACTAGAACTCTTTAGACTGAGGTTCAATACAATTAGTTTGTTAAACTACATATTACGCTATTGTGTATGTGGACTATCGAAAAATGATTATCATTTAATAGTTTCATCACTGATCTACTCTGCCTTATTCGTTTTACATTCACATTTACAGATAGTTAAGATATCCATTCATTCACAAACTCATTTTCATTCATATATTCTATCAGAGGAAGATTATGATTCGATTATTATCAAATAAAAATCAGGTTATTAGGTAACAAAAGCAATTATGGCTCATCTTTTCTCAAAATTATCATTATTAATCTGTTTATTCGAAGTTGTTAATGACGACTTTTCTTCTTCTTCTTCTTTTATTCCAAAATTTATTCATCTCTTATGATCATTCATAAAAAAAGAAGAGCTGAAGATACACAAGCTTGCTGAAGAAAATTGTGATGACCATTATTACGAATAAGGAAAAAAAGAAGAAGAAGCATTGTGTTGATTTGATTTCACAGGAAAAATGAGCCATCTCACAGGCTATCAAGCAAGAAAGAAAAAAAACATCGCCTATCATAATTAAATTTATTCAAATGAGGCAAGCGGATTTTATGACACTCGAAAATGTGAGAAACACAAAATTAACAACACAGAAGAAGTAAGAAAAAAAAATAAAAATTAATTTCGGAATTGATATCTTTTCATTTGTGGCATAAAAAGGCGATATGGAAATGTATTTAAATTGATGAGTCGTATAAAATATATTGGAACCAGTTTTTTTCTTTGGAAGCTCGATATAAATGAGTTTTTATTGTCAGTAGCGTTTCTGACTATTTGATAACGCTTATAAGTATCAGGTAACATGTGAGTAGTAGTTTGATGGTCCATCACGAGACAATCATCATACCATAAAGCTAATTTACACCCATTCCCTGTCAACTGAAAATGAAATCAAAATCATTCTTTGGTCAAGTCAGTCAGTCGATTAGAATTAAAGATAAAACAATCACTGATAATTCTCTTCAATCATAAGTCATGCGATTGAAAAGAATTTCATGACTAAACATGAAAAATGACAAGAATTTGAAGCATTTAATAATTCATTTTACAGTTCATAACGACAAGTGGCGCCTATTTTATGTGAATTCTCATATGGGTTTATTTTTCATGTTTTTAATTCTTTCTCTTCTTTTACATATTCAATTTTTCGGAGCCTTTCTTAGCTCCCTTTTGAATTCCTATTCGTTTTTTTTTTGTTTTATTTGCTTTTTCAACAGTCATCGCACATTGAGTGGAAGAAGAGGAAGAGAAAAAAAAATCTTTCGTGCCGCTCTTTTGATTTACCATAACAAGCACTTTTTATTACACAAAAATAGCGACAATTCTTTACTGCTAATAAATGCTGATGATTAGCCTTTACTGCCGTGATCTTTTTAAGGTGTTGAAAAAACTATAATAACACCCATATAGACTGATTAAAAAACATTATTTTTTACAAATATGGTCAAATTATAGCGACAGACAGCAAAAACAGTTTTAAAATGGAAAAGTGGAATTTTGTTCATTAGAAATAAGCTTCATTTTGAAAGTGCAAAATTTCTCGCAGCATAAAACTGTTGAGCTGTTTAATTATTTTCGTGAGAAAAAAAAATCTTTTAATCTGTGAAAGCCAATGGATAAAATTATTGTTATTATATTCTGTGGTGGTCTTTACTCTACCACAGCCTCAATTTTATATTTTTTATAAACCTTAAAATTCGAATCATAAATTAAGAAATTTTTAATTTCATTTTCAACCATTTTCCATGCTTTTTTTAATACTTTTTCTCATCCTCATCGTCTGCGACTTGTTGGCTCATTAGTAACCTGCTGATACTTTACAAGGTCCATGAATTTTTTTCCATCAAAGATTTTTATCAATGAACTAGATTTAATTATTCATTCACACAGTTTTTATACAGAACGAATCTCGTCTCGATAATAATTGATGATCCTTCGACTTTATAGATGACTAAATCTGATAAATTTAAATTCAAAACCTTGAAATTTCTCATATTGATATGTTAAGATAAATGAAGTACTGTCGTATGATATGAACTCATCAATAATCTATCTTCAATGTGTCACAAATTGTTGATTCATCACAAATAAGACTCAAAAAACAATGAAAATATTTTCTTTGCCTTTATTTTTTTTCTTTAAAATTCCAGACACATGTCTTCAACTGACGCCGTTCCTCTTTCTTTAGGAAATCAAAATTATGTATCATTTCTTCTATTTTGTTCTCTCTATCTCTCTCACTCACTCATATACTACTAGCCAATTCTTCTTTTATTTTTGATACAGGTTATAATTATTATTTGTTGTTTTTTGCTTCTTCAATCTACAGTCAGTCGATAAAATATAATAATTTTCCAACATTGTTAAGCCATATGATGCTTGTTAGAATCTTTTAAATGGATTATAATAGATGCATGGGGATTTAGTAGACACATAAAATATTTTATAAGCTCATAATTGGATTTGATGAGGATATGAAATATGAAAAACACACAAACTGAAATACTATGGATTTTAAAATTTCTGTTCACGCTCAATGTCTATTCATTTGGAGGAGATGATAAATTATTTGAAATTTATTAACACATTACGAATTTTGTTGCAAAATATAATTCTTAGTTTCTCAGCAGTTTTAATGTTAATAGTCCAAAACATATGTCATAGAATTAGCAACATTGCCTGCTAATCTGGTTCAAATAACCAATTTTCATTATTTGTTATTTATTAATTTAATAATCCTTAACATTGTGATTTTTATGACTGTAAATTTTCATATTGATTTGATGACACATCATGCTGTTTTATACAAAATGACATTTTCAGCAAGTCTTTTAAAAATCAAATAAAACATCATAATTAAACTTCAGATAATAAACTGGACAGAAGATTAAAAGAAATAATTTTTTTGACATGAATCATCAACATCACTATCTACATTTGAATAAGATAAGGGCTTTTTATAAATGACGTCAATAGCTGACTAGTCATTATGTGTACTAAGTCTTTACATAGAGTTTTAAGGAAGAGGTCTTGAGCTGTATGTTTGAAACTGTTTGTTTGAAAGTAATAATCTCATAGACCTCTTTTATGGACAACTCCTTGTTATGAAAAAAATTATTTTAATTTATCAATTTTTCAACAGCTCATCGAAGCTAATACATTTATAGATTTTAAGGCATACAACATGAACAATAGGCATTCGATCATAGATCTAAACAAACAGTCGAGACAACAATTATTATATCCGAAGGAGAGGCGCACCAGGTTGATAATTTCCTTTCATCTTAAAATCCATAAAAACATAAATATAAATTTATTATTTTTTTTACAAAAGAAGCAACATGAAATTGGTATGTTATGGGGCACCACTACGCATTCTATGAGAAATAAAGTTTCGATACTTCACACTGTGCAATTGTTTTCAAATCAAACATGTATATAACATCATACGTAAGGGGAGTATAAAGTAAAATGAGATGAAAAATAGATCGTGTTATTCAGTTGCATTGCAGGTGTTTCTTTGACACTTTTTCAATTATATAAAATTGTAGCAGGTAGTAAGCTAGCTTTTGAATGATTCCTTATAGAAATTTAATCAACTTCAACTTTATAAGTCATTATAAGAGTTAAGTTTATGTAATAAGTTGAACTGTTAAAAATCAATTCACAGATAAGACAAAAATTCAATTTTACTAAATACTTAATAACATCCTGTAGCACTGCAAAAAGTCATTCCCAAATTGTTGTTTATATTATAAATAACTAGTTTGTTTATACAACAGACTGAAAATTGCCGTCAATTGGCAAACATTGTCTTTGAAAACTCTCTTGACGACATTCATATAGATTTTGAAGTGATGGTGTCTGGATTGTTGTGAGTGCACATTTTGGAATCACAAACACAAACAATGTGAGAAAATTATCAAATATTTTGACTAAAAACAGTCTACTCACCGTATATGAGTGTCTTTCGATAGATAAACAATTTCTAATGGATTTGACAAACGAAGTTTCCTGTACCATTTGATATTTTTTTTCGAATTTTTGTGGATTTATAAAAATTAAAATTGATTTGGAAAAATCCTTCTGAACTGTATTCCATCAAATGTAGACAAGCGAGGTAAGAAATTTTATTGCTTTATTGTTTGCATTATAAAACGTGTGATTTTTAACATCTCTTATTGCTATATACTTTTAAACTTATAATGGAATCTTTCAATATATATTTTTCAGCATTTGACCGACTTTTTGTACTTTAATACCCAATAATAAATATATTCACTACATAGCCTGCCTGTGTTTACTCTTCACTTCAACAAAAAGTTGTAAAAATTGGGCGCCATAGCATTTTGTTTTTAGAACTTCGATAGTGAGAATTTCTTCCCTTTATGGCCACACTAAGTTAATATTTAATATGGATTTATTTTTTATTCTACCCTTTGTACATAATATAAAATGAATTGCTGTGTGGCGTCTATCGTAATGCGATTTTATGTATTTATGCATGTGCAATGTATAGCATTTTCAGACTCATAAATCCTTTTATCTTTTGCTTCGTTTTAAGTGTATGATTTTGTTTTTAATTTTAGAACTCACCTGCCACATTTTGTAATAATCATTTCTGTGCCAATTTGATGAAATTCTGACCATAGATCTGAGTTTTGTAATTTTACGTCTGCTCCAGGTAATTGAAAGCGTGGTGGAATCGGTGGAAGCTGACGTGTTGGGAAAATTGATGAGTATGGATCTGTAAAAATTAAATTTTATGTTGGTCATTACTCATTGACTTGTAACCTTAGTTAACGCATATGGCAAGCTGAATAATAAGGAATTTTATGTTCCCACTAAGGCTTGAAGTTTTATTTTATATTTTATTGACAGCAACTTTACTATAACAAAGTGCTAATAAAAGTCGTCAAAAGTATCGCTTATTGAGACATTTTTGGGTCTTTTGCAAAATGAAATGATACGGTTTTGATAGATTTATGACCGCAGTGTTGCTGCAGCGGCATTTGACGAAAACCTTCTTACAAAAGAAATATAAAACAATACAGCCGTCATAAAATTCACCTGCCTATAAAGCGTCAATTTTTACAGAATGAAAAACAAACATCAGCTTGGAGTGATAGAATAGAAAATTTATATTTTTATGGCAGATCCATGTATATGAGCTTTATAAATATCAATTTCTTACTATTCATTAGAATCAAAGGTGCTCAGGCATGAAGAGCACGATCAAGTTTTATGATTTTTCATTTATTTTATGTATCCCTTGAAAATAGAATTGTAACATTCTGCAGACGATATCCTATCCCTTAGGAATGATAATGGATCATTAATCAATTGTTCGAAAAGAGAATTAGTTATTTCTGTTTGTTTTTATTCCTACTTCTTCAGGCTAGCTTTTTAAAAAATGAATGAGTTTTATACTATTAATTGTTTAGATGAATTACCTGGAATCCTTTGCAACATTTGTTGTCTATAAAATTCCTGTGCTAAATGATGATGAAGTCTGATATCCATTATTTCACTCATAATATTAATTCTTATTATTTCACTAAAATTTCTTTTGCTTTTTATGGCACTAAAAGTATCGATCAATATTTAATTTTTTTGATATTTATTCATTTAATCACAAGTATCCAATAACTTATTAGAATCACAATTATTTTAAATGCATCATAAATAATCATTAAACTTTTTAAAAATACATAAGAAGTGAATTTTGTGTAACGACAGTGCAACAATCACGAAAAGACTAAAGCAAAACTGTGAAAAATCATCTATTTAGTGTTGACATTTAACAAACTTAAACCGCCAAGTGGTTCACAAAACTGCTCAATGGCACAAGCATTGAAGAAAAAAAAGTTGCAAGTCGTGATCGTACGAAAAAAAAAATTAAAAACAGGTTCTTTTGATTCTCTTTCATACATAGGATTCACATTCAAGCTGTTGATTTTCATTGGTTAATAAAAGATTGCGAAGAGAAAATTGAAAATTGAGAGGAAGCCACGCCTATATAATGCTCTCGCAACAGCGCAGTGTTTTCATAATAAATTGAAAAATAAGAAGCACGAAAAATGGCGTAAAATCTTACGAAATGAAATTCAGGCACGTCAATACGAATTGAAACGTATTAAAATTCACAATTTTAAATTAGATTATTAGCAATTGAAATTCCTCCATAAAAAGGCATTGAAAAATTACATTGGATCTTTTACTGGAATTTATAACATGCGTGATTTCGAGAAATCATAAATATGGAACAAGAACAGAAATAATTACATAATTAATGTAGTTCAATAATTGTACTGAGGATCTTCGATTGGAATAATTGTTTTGTCCCAGAAGAAACATGTCTGCTGAATATCTACAATTTTTAATTTGATGAAATTAAGGTGTTCAACTCATATCAATCTGATTCGAGGATCATAAATTTGAATGAAATAAGGTATACCATTTAACACAACAAGCCACAAACTAAGCTTTTACATGACAACACTCGGATTGTAAGCATTAGATTACTCAATAAGATTTTTAATCCGATTTCTAAAATTTTGAAGAAAATCAGTTAATTTTCATTTAAAATGTGTAATCTGCACAAGTAGCAATTATCTGTCGCGACAAATTACCCAAAAGGAGCCAAAAATCACTTGAAGTCGTTTAAAGCTAAGAAGGATTTTTAAGGTTTGCGATAAGCTCATTCTAACCCAACAGGGGAACTTTGTCTGTATCCTTAAATAGCTAATTATAAGTGCATAAGTGTTTCACAGAACATGCACGTTCCATTTAGACATTTTCGAGTAGATAATTATCAATATGGAAATGTGTAAGCATGGAGACACAATTTAGTTATTAATTAGATTTTAAATGCACCTGCAAACAACAATATTGCGATCGTTATTAAAATCATCACATTGTTATAATTAAAACCTTATTTTCTAATCATAAAATGCCGAAGTAAAAAAAATGAAATTTCTAAGAAAATTCAAAACACATTTTTAAAATAAGCGAAGCATTCAGGCACAAATCCCCCATTTCAAAAATAAAAATTACAAACGCGTGTTTGAAATTTCTATACATATATGTATGTGCTGTTAGTTGCTTCACAATTTTACAAAATTGTGAACTTAATCACTTCTAACACCATTTTTTACGCCACTTTATTCTGCTATACAAAATTACAAATCTCAAAATAGACAACAAACGAGAAGAGTAATTCGAGCAGTTGGAAAACATGACGTTGCTACATTTTAAATCTTTTTTTCTAGTACTGTATTACAAGTAAACGTCGAAATAATGAAAGAAAAAAAAATAAGAGGAACAGATGAGAAAACATTTTGCAAAAAGCTTGACGCCATAAGAATAATTTTTTTGCTGCGCACAATGTCGCCAAAAGTCACGATTTGCAGATTCAACTTCCTTTGTAATTCGTCTGAAGCATAAAATACAACACATCAAAAGTTGTTAAAGCGATGGTGCAATTACTTTTTCATTTCAAATGATCAGCGTCTTGAAGATGATTTTTTAGACTCTTAAGATTGACAGTCATGAAAATTATTCAAATATTAACGTTAAGTGGGTAGGAATGGAAGTGGATAAAAAGAGTGAAAGTTGTAAATTAAAAGAAAATTAACACGATTTCATTGCAGAAAAAAAAAATATCCAACAAACGAAAATGCCGTAAATTATTGCTTCACACAATGTCTATAAATCTTTTTTAATTAGTGCCATTTTCTTAACGACCTGAGGAAAACGGTAATCCAATCATCGTTAATCAACGATAATCGTTCTAAATGAAATTTAATTTTACTAATTTACAAAATTCCTGGCTGGCGAAAACAGCAACAACAGATTAATGTTTATGTGATATTTGAGTTTATCTTCATTAAATCTTGCATCTTCTTGTGTGTCCACCAATATTATTTAATCTTAAAACAAAGACGACAAATGATGAAAAATAAATAAATCTGTTCCTTTATATTTTACATTGTACACTATCAATTTTTTGCTCCTTATTAATTTGCGAGGCTTTAAAATCCATGGATGATAGCAATGAAAGAAATCTGGCGCCCTTAAAATGTTCAATACATGCTGCATTACATGTTAAACATGCTTTGATCCACTTTGATGTTATTCAGGAAAAGCGAGTACACATCCTTAACAATATCACATGCATTAGTTCTCTTTCGAATGTCAATTGCTTTATCATGTCCTTTTCAAGTCTACATACTGTTGAATATTGTGTATGAATGAAAACACAGCAGCAGACAAATTCCCATCAACATTAGATATAGAAAAAAGAGTCTGAATGGAATGCTTCAAAGCGGAAGCCAGTAATCTCTTGAAATGTCACCTTTCTCAGGCTAACAAACATTTAGCTCTGAATAAATTTGAATATTTTACCATTTCATTATCGATAGTGGAAAGGAGAAACAACTCGAAACAAAAAAAAAAGAATCATTTTCTTTAATGTACACAAGAAATGAGGCAATAAAAATCTTCACAACTTTTGCCAGAGCAGATTGAGCCGACAAAGGAACTTCTGTAATGCGCCGCTCGGGCGAAAAGAAGCAGCACACAAGCGATATCAATAAAATTTTCCTCTTTTCTCTTCACTAAAGAGATGTATTTTTATACACACAGTAAAACAGCACAGATAAGAGAAGAGAATGTATTTATTACAGGCCATTCTTGGAGGCTTTTTTCAATTAAGCGAGGGAATAACAGGCAATTGATAAGGCGACTAATTTTGTGTTTCTCTTCTCTTCTTTTTCTTTTTCATGGCTTCTCCATTCAGATAGATATATTGAATTATATTTATGTATTGCCGACTTTTGTTTGGTGCTTCTTTTATGTGAACGGTAGCAGCAAAGATAAGAAATACATTAACGGGTTCTTTTCGGATTTTTTTTTCTCTCTTCAAACTTCTTCTCTGCGTTTTATAAAAACGTGGTAAAACGTTCATCAATTTATAAAATGTGAAATTTATGAGGGAATTAGCAAAAAAAAGCATTAGAATGTGCAAGACAGTGCTGTATGTAGAATTTTTGAAGGTGTTCTGGCAAACTTGCTTTAAAAACCTTAACAATTTACGATTATTTTATTGTTTTAAGCAGATTCAAGAACTTTGATCTGAAGCTTGGCACCTAATTCCTCCTCTGACTCCATCCTTACTAAACGATGTTCGGAAGAAATAACCATAATGGATTTTTCAGCTTCAAATTAATATTTTTTTTATCTTTACATTTTCTTGCTAAATTATTAGTCATATACAGCTTCATCTCCTCCTCCTTACTCATTAAAATGCTTTGACATGTTCTGTGCCGTAAGGGCGGTCAAATTTAAATAGCATTATATATGGCTCATAAAGAACAGAATGTGTTGGGAAATTTTTCATGCAATAATGTAAGGGCGCCAGTCAATGATCAGATTTCATGGATGTTTTCATTCTCTCATCTCACAAATGCACTTGATGAAAGATTTTTATTGTCTTAAAAGAAAGGCAAAGAATGAAGAAAAAAAAAAGTCTTGCAATATTGGACATCATGCTGTTTTATGTGTCTCCAGAACATGAGAACTTCACAACCATAAATGCGACAGAAAAAATCAACAGAAAGATCAAAGTGAGGCAATCCAGAAGCAATAATTTTTGTTAATAGATAAAAATTGGTTTCTTTCATCCTCACGAACTTGCTGATAAGAAAGTGATCAAATAAACCTTACCGACTTTGTGAGTCGACACTTTTTTTTGACTGTCTTATAAAAGAATTTTTTAATTGTTCTGATTACGAGGATCAATAGCTTTAAAAGGGTGTTTGGAAGATAAGAATAGTTCAATCATAGCTAAATCTTTAGTTTACCATAGAATTGAAAATGTGTGCCACCAAGCTAAGTCTGTCCAATCCATATAAGAATCACCTGTAAAATGCAAAGAAATTTTACTTTGAAAATTAAAATAATTAAAATTAATCGTCATTGAAAATGATAAATCATTCCACATATCAAGATCAAGAAATCTGAACTTCTAGATTCAGAAATTTGATCCTTTTTCTTGATTTTTTTTTTATAAACATTTAAGCTGAATCCGTCAGATATCATTTAGGCTTACATCTCTCAAAAAAATAAATTTATATATTAAATCGAGTTATCGCCTTCATAATATTTTATCTTGAAGATTTGAGAAAACGAATTAATTTTGTTTTTTTTTTGTCTATCTCTTATAGAATCGTATTTTATTCCTACTTCTTCTTCTTTATGAGAATCAGTTAAAACAAAGCATCAGACGAGTAAGAAAATGGGAAGTACGAAAAAAAGAGAGATTAAGGGAACGAAATGAAATCAATAAAAAAAGAATAATTTTTTGTGTGTTTGGCGCCACTGAAAGATGTGTGTTGCATTCCATGATGCATTTCAAAAAGACATAAATATTTGAGAGAACTCATGTTTTTAGATACATATATAAATTCTAGATGAAATGTGAGAGAAAAAAAAGGGGAAAAGAAGGTTAATTGGTGCAGTGAGGATTGTAAAATTCTTTTAAGATCCACTCAATCAGAAACCTGTTGCATATTTTCGGCTACTCTTTGAGAAAGGGATACTTATTTCAAATATGTTCAAGCGACTGTAAATGGCAATCAAGACAATCGTTAACTTGTGCCATTCATTTGAAATTTATCTAACAAGAACAGAAAAGGGTTTTCGCTTTTTATCAAACGATTAATCTCTCAGTTTCAAGCCTTGCGTAAAATACTTTATCAGCTTAAATTCAATCTTTTGAGTTGTGTCATTATTTTAGAGAAAAAAGTCTC